TCCCGAAACCGCGATACGATTATGAGAAACGCCGTAGTAGAGGGCTACGGAAACTGCGACCACCTGGTGTTCCTAACGTGGGCTGACATGCACAGTGAACGGGCCCCTGCCATTTCACCTCCATCAAAATGCGACCACCACACCCTGGATCGAACACGCCACATGTGGGTCGGCAGCCGAACACCCGAGCTACTGATTCACCGACGCGGACTATTGCTGTTTTTTTTTTTGTTGTTTGTTTGTTTGTTCTTAAGGTGTGGGCGTGACACGTCTCAGCTGGCATGTCGGAAAGAAATTGAAAATGAACATCTTCCCGTAAATGTTGAGCCTATAAATTTACGGCATGCGGGTGGTTTTTGTTGTTGTTGTTGTTGTTCTTTAAACCGCTTCGTACAGACATGTATTGCTAAGATTATGCAAAAAAGTCAACATCATTTTGGGTTCAAGCATAACAGACACACAACTGGTAGCACTCACACGCAAAAAAGCTTTTTTTTTTCTTAAACTAGATGACGTAGACACGAATGTGATCTTCGCGGCGTTCTTTGTACACGACAATTAAAGTTATGTGTAGTAAGGAACAAGTATTGGAGCTTTCCTGTGTTTTTTAGTCAAATTAGTCTTGCACGAAGTCGATAAACTCCCAAGTTTATCGGCTAGTCTTACAGTGCATATGTGGGCGCTCGTTCTCACCACCCCGTGTAAAATTAATTGCAGTTTATTGAGCTATATTAGCAACCATAAATGAAATAAGACCCGTCGAATCCACGCTAGGCACGAAAGATAATACGTGACAGGCAGCAAAAGCTGCGCATATAATGAACAGAGTAATTAAATAATAAGAAAGACAACGCTAATGACTTCGCAAAGTTCGCTTAGCAGCAACCCATCATAACATGACAGTTAAACAATACTTTAAAGTAAAAAAGAATTAATAGACAATTCAGTAAATGAGTCGAGACTGAATGTTATGTTTCCCAGCATTTGTCCCCATTGGTCGGCGGTTGTTAATATTTAGTTATTTTTAGCGTGTGCCTGCTACTGAAGGTTGCATGTGACTGGGTGCGGTAGTTCCATTTCGGTCGTGAATGCTGGTCTAAGCCCGCACGAACAGGTGTACAAGAAGTTATTGTCCTTGAAACAATCATAATAAGAAAGAACTATGCTGACGCAACCACCATTCGGAACGAAAGATAAAACCGGGGAAGGAAAACTGTATAGGAATAATTATAGAATGAAAGAGCAATAAAATTAATGCAGTCCCTGGACCCTCTAGCTTGCTCGTTCAAACACTTGGAACAACACGTGGCCCTCTGACCGGTGGTCATGGTCGATTATTATTACGAACAAGGGCACGAAACACGTTTCTGTTATGTAAAGGGGGCGAGTTCTGACACGGATTTCCAACAAGTTTAGAAAGACAAGAACAACAAAGTTGTGCTGCTCAAGTTGCGGCGCGAGATCTTTAAAACGAAATTTTCAATTTCATTCTTTAGTTGTCAACCAGTGACAATGAAATTAACGACAAAAACATTCTCAACGAACAACCTCACAGACATAGGCGGGTGCTTTACCCTGGTAGTACATTATTCTCTTTTATACCTCAACACATTTCCCTCATTGTAGGGTAGCAAACCTGCTTGACGTTTCAGCCTGTCATATTCTTCCTCGCAGCGTATGGATGTCCGTTCATGCAAGGCTGTAGCAGTCGATTTCCGAGCGCCACATTCACTAAATAATTGAGCGTTTGAGAATTGGGGCCGCAAGGAGCTTGGGGACCCAAGAAGCTTGCGACAAGCCCCCCCCCCCCCCCCCCCCCTCTCTCTCTCTCTCTCTCTCTCTCTCTCTATATATATATATATATATATATATATATATATATATATATATATATATATATATATATATATATATATATATATATATATATATATATATATATATATATGGCCAATATTGATATCAAACATAGTCATACCGTACGTGAGGTCTTTCAGGGAAGAAAGGATATTTGTTGGTTCGTTTATATTGTTGGCACAACAATTATTACAGAAGAAATTCGTGTCAGGGAAAGGGAAAAGACGATACTAATTGTTGTCTTTAAATACGGTGCCTAAATTGGGACGTAATTTGAAATGAATGAAGGTGGGCAAAAAAAAAAAAGAACTTTCCGTCCACGGGGTTCGTGGTCTTTACGAGTGATGAACAAAGCGGAGTATCGTAGTAAATGTGATAGTGCAGCTGCGAACGACAATCACGCAATCATCGGCTCTACACAGTATAGTCGCGCTCAATAGGGCTTATAACACGGTAGTGCTCAACTTCACGAGTTCGAAGACTGCACATAGCTTCAACTTGTTTTTGTTTCAATAACTAAATATCACTTTCTCAATTGGGACCATACTCGGTGAGAGAGAGACGCGTCTAGTAACGGAAATAAGGTGCTTTAGTGGAGGCCACGCGCAATCTTAGAACTCAGGACACGTTATAGCGCGAGACCAAAACGACGACACAGAGACAAGAAGGACACGAAAGAGAAGGAAGGACACGTGTCTTTCGTGTCCTTCTTGTCTCTGTGTCGTCGTTTTGGTCTCGCGCTATAACTATCGTCATGCCATACTAACTAGCCCAAGCTGCCACACTTCTGGACACGTGCTCCCGTGTTTCAAGTTATATTGAGCACGACTGTACCTGAATTACCCACAAATTTTTGCGTTCCAATCCGCGAGTGCTGCACACAACGGAACAGGCACGGCGCCGTCTGCTGTCACGGTGCAAGGTCGGTCACACACCCCCCTCCCCCCCCCCCACTCTCGCCATGGTCGCTCCCATCGGCACGCGGTTTTGTGAAGGTCAATGCTGACCGATGCGGCGAGCGGGGAGGGATGGACAACAAAAGGAAAAGCGATCCCTCTCTCCGGGGTGGTTGGTGGCGGAACCACGCGCAGGGCGGAGTCCACTCCACGGTAACCAAAATTTGGCAGAGCACCGACGTAAATAAAAACACACTAAAAGGCGTAGTTGAGAGAGAGAGAGAGTAGGGGATCCGCGAAACCAGTCGCAAGTGGCGCTACCTGTCTCCCCGTCACGTGGTCGTAGATGGCGGTAGCGAATTTTCCACGCGCGCGTAAGAAATGACCATAGGTTCCCCTCCCCCTGTTTATTTATTTATTTTCTTTCGCGGTAAGTATAGATTCCGAAAGCCCCCCCCCCCCCCCCTTTTTTTTTAAAGCTTTGGTTGCACTACAGAGCTATGCAGTACGCAAGCTTTTTTTTTTTTTTTGGGGGGGGGGGGATGTTGTTTTCTACCAGCATCGTGGTGACATTTTTGGGGGTTTGCGAGCTTTTGGATCTCAGGTAAAGACACCTGCAACCAAGAATGTTGATTCCTTGACTAAACACAACAGAAGAAGAAAAAAAAACCCAAAGTAGCTTGAAGACCTCTTTGTGCGTGTGTACCTGGTTGCTGATCCTCACCTGGACGACGTCTTCACCTGCGCGTCGTGATTAGTCACGACGCTTTTTCTTGTCCAAAAAGTATTTCGCCCACCAGTGCAACTCGCGCATTCCTTGCTTACAGCTTTGCTGGGCAGGTAGGCAGAAGGGCAAACAGAGAGCACGTGATCCATATTTTGTAGCATAAAGGGCTAACGTCGTGGTAGAACCGCGGTAAATGCGGGGCAGCTAAATACGCAGGACAAGGCACTGTCGAAGTCAACAACCATAACGTTTATAAACCGCCTAGCCTATAGGAATCCTTGTATAAAGCGTTGTTACGCAATACACGCATGTACTGTTTTTCGTTAAAAAAAGCTGCGGCAACTCGAACTCGACAAAATTCGTCCATATAACTCATTTGCCGATAAATGAAGAAGGCTACAATAAATAGACCTGAACTGGAATCGTCTGCTCGCCAGATTTGGAGGCGCTTCCAACTCTCGATCACAGCTGTCACATTAAATGTCGGTAGATGTGCACAATAACTGGCGACGTCAAAGAAAGCCATACGGAGGGGTGTGGCAGATACTTCGCAGCCTTTACATATCGCACAGTTATAGTTTTCAGGAGAAAGCTAATCCTCAAACACTTGTTAACGAGCGACTTTCAACACTATGCCTCAACAACTGTAGTTTACGAACACTTTCAATAATTCAAATGGGCACTGAACTATGAGACCACTTTTTTTTTTTTCAGCTTAAGAAAGCAGTGACCGTATCGATACGTGGTAGCTGCATTCTAGCGCACATTCAGAAACAATTCTTTTAAAGCATTCAAGAACTTCTTTCACAACGGGTGAAACAGACACACTTTAGGCGTAAAACATATTTCTGACGGATGATGTATTTCATGTACGTTTATGCTGGCCTTGTCCCGGAAATTCGAAGTTCTTCGAGCCGCCTCCCACTAAACTTGCTTTTTCCTGGAAGGGCGGGCTTACAAGAGCGATGTTTTTCGATAACGCCGGTAACACATGAATAATAACTCCGGACGAATTCCGTCAGGAGGATCGTGTCGACGAGATGTCGCTTAAAACCCTACTATGAGGGCTGGGTAATGTAAGGAGTGGTCACAAACACAATGTGTCCTTCAAAACACTAAGGCTGTAGAGTAAACAGTTTATTCGGGTTTGGGTCTACGTTAGACTCTGCGAAACATGTTCAGAACATGGTGCGACAACTAGAGACTACGCCCTCCTCAGCCGTTAAAAAAAAAAACAACACTTGTGGAGCAACTAATATTTCTCTTGTAATCATGCGTATTGAAAACACTGAGAATCGTTCGGTAAGCTATGCGATAGCAGCGCTAACAGGCCAGTATTTGTCTTACAAGCGCAACAGGCGCGGCATCTGATGTCGCATTTCCCGCCCAGCTCGACTCGGTCGTCTGCTCCGCGCGCGCGAGAGAGCAGACGACGCCTCTTTTCCGGCAAACGTCTGAAGTTTGTTTTGTCTCGTTACCTAAAGACAACCGCGGCAATTAAAACCGTAGTCATTACTTACCGGATGCTTGCAAGGATGCGGTGCAGCTCCTCGTTAAATGCTTTCGCCGGGGCGTTCTCGTTGCGACGAGCAGGGGCAGAGAAGAACAGCTCACAAAGGGGACCACAACGAGCGCTTGACGGCGGTCACGACTGCGGAGTTTTGCCCGTTTCCGAAAAGATGGCTCACCGCTCCCGCTAGGGCCCTCGCTACCAATCAGCGCGAGCCGGCGCCCTTCGGCCGACCAATGGGAGCGCTCCCAGTGCGGGCGCCTTTTTTGAGGAGGAGAGCGAAGCATCTCTCTCATTTTTGAATTCGGCTGTGGATCCTCTGCTGACCCCCCCCCCCCCCCCCCCCCCTGCTTTAGATCGGGCGCGTTGATTCACGCTTCGCTTTTAGCGTTCAATCTTCGAAACCACGGCGAACGAAGCATTGCGCCTTCCTTTAGCGCCCGTACTTTGACCGTAGCGTAGCGTTGGCGTTCAAGCCAGTGTTGGTTGAATCATGCTCGCCTCTTTGTTTGGCTATCAGTTTTGTGGATGTACCGGGTGTCCGCGCGCGCGGGTTCAAAGCGCTCGGAGAAGTTACGGAGGACTGTGCCCTCCGAATGGGCTTCGTAGGCGTGATGCCCTTGAACGCATCGTTGCTGTTGTGAAAAATGTATTACGCACCATATGTAAAGATGGTGTGTATTGTACTTCGGAATCATCGGTGTGAAATGCAGCCGCAAATCAAGTAATTTCTGCCACATATTGCGGGGGGAAACTATAATGTCATAGAACGTGTTATAGGCGAATGTTATCTGTCCTTACGAATGAAAGAAACACACGAAAAGCAAGGAAAACAGACTGGATGGCGTATGAGCGCGGACATGTGTAATAAACAGATGTAAATTAATAAGCGAATCAAAATGCCGATAGCCGCACCATCGTACCAACACACCTTGAATGTGACCCCTCGCGGACTTTCAAGTGACTCAAAGTAGTGCTACACCGGCAGCAGACAATTCTGAATTGACTGTCACTGGACCAGATGTCTAGTGTTATCTCACTCGTGAGCCATGCAATCTGTGTAGCACATTAAACATAATGCACGTGATATTGGCATTTCGCCCTGCTTCTTGTGCAGACAACGACCCCCTTCACCTTTTCAGCATTTCATGCGTCAATCAAGCACCAGGAATAAATTAAAACGACGGCTCGAAAGTTAAACTCTAACGTAAAAAAATGGGGGAGGGGGTTGAGAATCTGTCGCAGCGTCCCCCTCCAATGTATTGGGCGACCTTGCGCCCCCCCCCCCCGTTCCCCCTAGTCCCAGGGCTAACCTATGTTTTTCATATATTGGCCCGACTTCGCCCTCCTCCTATGTGACTATAGGGGGCCACCACCCCTCTGCCTCCACCCGGGCACACGCCAATGGGGACGTCACAAAATGACCTCGAAGTTCACATATGTAAATTATTTTTTATGTTCAAGAATTATTTTCGTCTCTTTCTCTCTCTCATTTCAGTAGAGTGCGTTTGAAGTATCCTCTCGAACCCCGAGACGCACTGCGTGTGACCGTGTGTGACCGAGCATGGGAATACATATACCGAACGGGATAGAAACAACGTTTTTGAACGCTACTCGGGGCGTGACACACCCGCGAGTCGATCCTCCACGTCGAGTTCTCTGATACCGCGAAAACACGCGGTACACACATTGACGCGCTATCGCGGCCGTATCTCGAGACGCTTTTTAAAAGTTCTCCGGGCTATCAGCTGGTTTTTCGGCCTGGTCTGGGTTGTGGGGGAGGGCGTGTAACGAGGCTATGGGAGCGAAGTTAAGAGGTCCAATATGTCTGGGGCGTCGCTTCGTTTCCGGCAGCCGATAATTCCGAGAAGCGCGGAGGCCCTTTTCGAGCAGCCAGGCGGTAATTATTTCGTCCCAGGGGAGCGAAGTCTTTCTGACCGGCGGCCGTGGGGAGTGTGGTTGCCATTTGTACCGTAGCTTCGCGCATACGGTATCGACAGGAGGTTGTTCAATTTGTCTCGGAAGCATAGTCCTGCAAAGCTATTGAGGGACTGGGCTCGAAAGCAAGCGCGCATACAAACACACGCACAAACACGCGTAAAGAACAGTTGACCCTAGAGTTACGCTACAGCGAAGGTAGTGTAACTCTAGTTGAGCTTCTGGCTGAGCCCCTGGCCGACACACGGCGATGGAGAAAAGCATGACCGACGGGGTACAGCGAAGAAATTAATACTGTAAATAGCAAAGGAGTTGCGATCCTCGGGGGGACTTAAAAAAAGTTTTACCAAGAATCGGGGAGGGATCCGAACAAAAAGGCGAGAGGGGGCAATGCATCATCGAATAGGCGATCTTGTGGAATTCAAAAATGCTTTCAACACATGAAAAAAATATGAATACATCTCAAGACACCAATATTGAGAGATTTTTTTTTCAAAGCTTAAAATTGCAGAGAGCTGTAGAGTTCATTTGCAACTCTATGGCTGAGAGAGATGACTTCAACACTTTATTTCCGTTAATGTCTCGAGTCGACGCCAGGTGGGGTCTCAATTTGATGGTTCGTTCTGTGGTGATTTTCGGCAGGGGATTGAGCAAAGCAAGGTGCAAATCAGGCCGATTCGATTCTCCGGGCTATGGCACTTACGTTTAAATCCAATCAACGTTGTCCCGAGACCATCTTGTATTCATCATATCGATATAAGACATACAGGGACGCCGCCCGTCCTATGCACATTTCGTGGCTATTCTCACGTCTCCATCTCGTCATTTTGTTTTATCCCTCTCCGTTATACAGAGAACCAGAGTCATTCAACCGATAAAACGCTTGCAAAATAGCTCCCCTGCTGGTTTATTGAAGCGAAGCATGGTTTGTAGCCTCTTTACTACAAGCTAGTAACCGAAGCTACGGAGCAATTTTAGTTCACCAAAAAGCCCTGAGGAGGATTTACCCTTTTCCTCACAAAGAACTCGGCATAGAGCAGTCGGTCACCTGGAGACAGCGGCACACTAATACGTACCACAACCTTAATCTTCCCAGCAACATCTATTCAGCAATATGTGACAACAGATACCCGCTATGCGGAGAACGCCCAACGCTTCATCACGTGACAGGGACCTGGCAGCACGCAAAGGTAGTGCCACGAAACAGCACACAAACATTGGAGCACTGGGAGGCTGCGTTGTCTTGCTTGAAGCCTGCGGACTCGCTTGCTGGATTTCGGGCTGACCGGTCGTCATGATGACTGGGCTCGCCCTACGTCATCTCCTGCCGCCGACGACCTTCCACCTCCGACGACAGTGCAGCTCTGACTTACTGGACTTGTTCTACGCCATCCACCGACGCCGAAAGGAGCTCTCGCAGGTGCGCCCCGTCCTCGGACTCCAGTGACCGTGCTCCATCTTTCCTATCTCTTCTATCCCCTCGGTTTGTCCTCGCTCGCTGTGGCTTACCACCACACGTCTCTTCTTCTCTTCTCCTTCTTCGGCTTTCCCACATCTTTACTCCTATCCTTTTTATCCCTCCTCACCCCATCCCTCGTGAGCTACTGTGGCGGTGTCGCTCATTGAAGCAGACAATAACGGGGCTCGCTTTTCTCTTCTTTTCTCTTTTTAATAGCCACTTCGCTTGAAGCCTGCAAAACAGCTCGAGCTGATTGACAGAGCTCGCAAGATGGCGAAGGTCAACAGGAGCCCTGTACTGAGGACTCTACCTTCACCGGATGAACTTACTTGAAATGAAGTTTTTCATCAATTTCTTCCCCGTTAACCACAGAGTTTCCTAAAATATATAAAGGGGACTCTGGCTCTGCGACTGTTCAGCACCCATGGGAATGGCGCCTAGCTGCTTGCGGGCTTCCAACGCACTTGTGGCTTCGTTTATTGTCGTCTTTTGGCTTTGTTTCGAATAAAAGAATAGACCGTTTTGAACTTCATGACGTGATAAGAATTGGCGGGCCTAAAAGGTTAAGGTGGTGAAGTGTAAATGTTGGACATTTGCTGATTGTCGTCCCGTGACAAAGTAGCTCCAAGCCACGCGAAACTAAACGGGGCCGAAAAGTACACAGGTTAGTTAAATTAGTGTACTACAAATCATTCCCATGCTCGCTAAAGTGATATGCGTTGCAGCTATACCGTAGACACTAGTGCCAGAGTTCCCTCTGGTGTATTATTCAGAATGCCAGTCAGAAGCGCCTGATCCAGCCGTTCACCCGAAGAGATCCGTGTGAGCCTATCGTCTCTTACTCTCTCCTTTGCCCTTTCCTGCTCTCCCCCATCGACCATAGCCTTTGCGTGTGCTTTGCGGCCACGGGGGAGAAAATCCCTCATGCAGTGTCTCCCGACGGAAATCGTATGAACCAATTTTTTTTTTTTCTTCAGTTGTACAGATGCGAGGGGCGGCTTCTCGGTCACGCTGGCTCTGCAAAGGATGCGTCGTTTTGAGATAGTGTGTCACCGTTCATAGAGATGGCGCTACCGACTTTAGCGCTACCCATCATGTAGCGTCGCATCACGACCATTCCTTGAACTAAGGCGGCCCGACGGCTCCCGTCGAGAAGCACGCGTTTGCCCTGGCATTAGAAGAAATAAGGAAGGCATTGCTTTTAACCATGACCTCCGGGATGACACACAGCGTGCCCGCCATTTCAGAGGCTATATTTTAACAGAGGATGTTTTTTCAATACGCCGTTACGCGTGACCTGCAAAGCAAGCTGTACCCAGGGCGTGCAACGCAATAAATAACTCGGCCGGCGCGCGCTTTTTTTTTTTTGGGGGGGGGGGGGGGGTATTTTTCTTTAGAATGGTGTTTGTTGAATGTACATAAAGTTAGTTCGTCCTTGATGACAGACATTCAAGAAATGAAAATTGATATAGTATATTTGTCTGTGCCAATTGGTAAATTGGCAGATAGTAAGGCCTGAGGCCAGAACACTCATTGAGGCTAATAGCATCCATCAGTAATGTAAGTGGCTACCGTGAAGTCGGAGCATAAATCTGCTAAAATGTAACAAAAATGCCTGGAAAAATGTCGCGTGGACTTGTGTTTTTATTACCGGGACGGCTTTAAGCTCTCCCATAGTAGAGTACCCTGTGCTATAAATCGTTACCCCCTTTTTCTACCCCCCCCCCCCCCCCCCACCCAACCGAGCCTGGTT